CTACACACCTAGGTAGTCAGCAGAGACTGACCAAAGGGGACAGCTAGTGACCCTTGTCCCTCAGGGGTGCTTTGTAGGGAGCCAGGAACCCAGAATTCACCTGTGTTCCATCTCTGTGGAAAGCTTGAGTCCATATATGCTTGTGAACTCACATCTTGTGCATTTTGACAACTTGTTTTCAGGACTGTCACTGAATGAGAAAAACAAGTAAGAGAAAAGGTAATTGGTATGCAGCCAGCTACATTGCAGAGTTTACAGAGAACTTCTAAATAGATCACCTCCTACACACCCGTGAGACATTGTTCCAGGTTCGCAGATGAGAAGAGTGAGGCTAAGAGATTAAATGATCATTCAGATATATCAGAGACATCTGGGGCCAGATGGAGGACCCGATGTCTGCTGGGGAACTTCATTGTTTTGTTTCTTTTCTTAAGCACTAGTTCTGCCTCAAAAATCATTCTAAGGAAGGCCAGTAATATGTTTAATTTGTTAGTCCTTAATCCAGAAAATGAAAAGCAAATAAGTAAACACAAACTGTAGTGCTGTTTGAATTACACCCCTTTTTATAAAACCAAGGAGCATTCTCAGAAAAAGCTGTTCTTCTCCTTCTGGAACCTGGACTTATTCTGGATTATTCTGGACCCTAAAGAGGATCCAAAATATTGGAAGAGCTCTGGCAGGTGTTAGTTGTGAACATAGAAGGTAAGAGTTTAAGAATTGATCTAACTCAATTCATGAGTGTCAGCCACGTAGAGAGATGGCCTCACAGGGAGACAGAGCTCAGCAGACCAGCTAGACTAGGAACAATCCTAGGCTAGCCACTGGGGGCCATTGTTCTTCTTGCCAAGAGTACATTGCAGAGCATAGCAGAAGAGATCACAGAAGAGATGGGAGTTAGTGGTGGTGCCATCGAGAAAAATGACTTCTCTTCTAAAGAGCTGCTAGGTCAGGCAGCAATGGCCAAGGATCCCAGAAGCAGGATGCATAGTGGATGGTAATTCCCCCAAAGGGTGAAATGAATAGCACATGGGATAAGATCCCATTGGTGGCCCAGCCCCAGCCCTTACTCCTCAAATGATGGCTTCCTCCTCCTCCATGCAGTTCCATGCTTCTGAACAGAATTTCCCATGGACCTTGACTTAACCCACCTATCTCCATCATTTAGGGGCAAAAAAAATGGTCACATGGGTTCTCTGTGAGTAAATGGTCTTCTATGAGGCAAGGGTTGTCAGAGACTCAGATGGAACCCTCTGCAAAGGGAACAAGTGACCTTGTCAAGCCAGGACCACAATAGAAGGTGCTACCCCTGCTGGGTCCCTGAGCACACAGACAACAGAAGGAGGCTCTCTCATAACCTGAACCCACATGTCCCTGTGAATAGTGTAGCCAGTTCCTTTGTGACGGGGGTCACAGGTATCCATCTGGTCTTTAAGTGGCTGTACCTTGCAATGAAATAACACACTAAACCAAGACCCGAAGGTCCAAAGAGAAATTGGTGAATGGAAGAGTTCAAACCTAATGCACGGTGTGGAAAGAGAAGTCACGCTGTAACTTTCATGTTCTTCCAATGATACGACAGTTTGGTTCTTGCTATAGCCTGGATCTGGAATGTCCCCCCAAGACTCTTTTGTTGAAGACTCCACTGCAGTAGAGTTCAGGGGTGGGGCTTTGGGGAAGTGACTGGATCCTAAGTGTGAGGTGGTGAGATCTAGGTACATTAGGGCATGGTTGGGGGAAGTAGTCAATGGGGGTGTGTCCTTAGGACTATATCTTGTCCCTGGTCCCTTCCTCATTCCCTCTCTGCTTGCTAGTTACTATGAGCTGAGCAGATTGCTCCCACCACACCCTTCTTCCATGATGTTCTGCCTCTGATCAGGCCCAAAGCAATGGAACCAGCCAACCATGGACCGAATCTCCTAAAATCATGAACCCAAATAAATCTTTCCTCCTTTAATTTGTTTCATAAATTTTGGTCACAGCAATGAAAAGCTGATCAACACAGTTCTCTTAACCATGGAACAGAAGATGGGTTTGGGGTCTTAAAAAAAGACACTCTCCTAAAATTTTTCCAAAATGTAATTATGAAACAGTGAAAGTGAAGACTGAGGCGCAGGCGTAAACTCGCTAAGACTGCTGGGAGATCATACAAGGGATCCCTGAGCTCAGTCTGCAGCAGGGGGTGAGGTGGGGTGGGCATGTGCCAGCACACACGTGTCCATGACATGTGCGAATATACCTTTGTAAACATGTTTGTGTGTGAGAAAGAGCAGGTATTGTGACAGTGTTGTGAGCATGAGTATGCATGTCTGTGTAAACACGTGTGTGCGTGATTGTGTGTGTTTCAGGGCAGTCTGTCCGAGGAGTGAAGGCTTTCAATTCCCAGATAAAGAGATACAGACTGAAAATTATCTATGAAGACCTCGTTCTCTCAAAACTCCTTTTCCAGCTTACCTCCTATCACTCATCACCATTTTCTGAGGAAGAGATATCCAGAAATCATAACCTTGTGATGCTCTTGTGTACCTTCTCAGCTTCTGCCGGAGGGTCTGTGATGAGAGGGGGTTGTCGTTGTAACTGCTGTTCTAACTTTGACTAAAAGGTAGAATGGAATCCTCTCTGGCCTGAGAACTTTTCACACAATTGGTCCAAAGAAGTATTCAGCATCTGTCCATATTTGCATTCTGTATGCTTTGAAGAACACACATTTTGTTTTAAAAACCAGTGTAGTAAAGATTTTAAACCAGGAGATTCACTTCAGAACACTTCTCACCTCTGCACAGGAACACAGCCTTCTGGAGAACAGAAAGGGAACTTAGGGGAGGAGCTGCTGATGGGGCGGGGCTTGGGCCAGGGGCGGGGCTTGGAGGGGATGGGGAAAAAAACCCCGGATCCTTCACTCCTAGCTGCTCTAGGAGTGAAGCAGCCTGCAGGACCTCAATTTCAGTCATCTGGACAAAGACTGGTCGCTTAACATTGTCTGAGGCCTCCTTAAGTTTCCGTTCAATGTCTTTGTGTTTCCTAGTTCCAATATGGATTATCTCCAAATACTGATCATCTCTGGTTCAAATGTCATAATTTTAAAAGAAGCTCATAATATTCATTTTACTTCTTTATACCTAAATGGAGAATTCAAACTACAAAAATAAATAAATACGAAGAGATTGGCTCCACTTAAACGTTTTTATAATCTGTTTAATTTTTAAGGCACACGGAGTTTATGATCACTTTAACATCTAGAAGTATTAAAAGGCACTAGTAACACTGGTAGTCTACTCATTTGCCAAGTTGACATGTAATATTACAAAACTAGATTTAAAAATCTGATTTCTAACAGCTGTGGGACAACATGGACAAAGGTGATACATCTAGACACAACCGCCATAAACTCAAGGTTGACAAAGAAAGCCGACTTCTGGGATGAGATCCCAGCATCCCGTAAGTGGGGAAAGAGTGGCCACCATATTGAAGGCTTTGTTTTTTTAATGAGACATTTTTCACCAAATTCTAAAGTTGTGACCCTCAGTGCATTTTATTCTCTTTCAAACAAATCACCCACAGAGCAGGTGCATGCATGAAAGATGAGCATTTTAGCATCCACCACACACAACCAGCCGTACCAGAAGATGCATGTGAATGTCCAGCAACAGACCTGAAAGGACTGTGAGTATGTAAGCGGCCCCCCATTCTGTCCTCTGTGCCTGAGGCTGGGGCGCAGCAGCCCCCCCACACCCACAGCTGTGATGCGTGTTGGTTACAGGGTGGTGGAAAGAAAGCCACAGACCGCCCAGGAACTCTCTGAGTCAATCATTTCCACTTCCTCCCTGACTGGACTATTTACCAGAACTGCCCAAGAGTAGTTACCATGAATTTAATCTCCTGGGTTTCCCCTGCCTGACCTCTAAATGAAATTTAAAAAGCAGAGAAAGGACAGTGACCGGGCTAGCCCCCACCACAGCATCATCACCAAAGAAGGGCCGTGTTGGAGCTTAGAGAGCACAGTCATGAGAAAGAATCAAGGTGTGCAGCACAGGGCAGGGAGTCTCCAAGTTGCAGCTGGAATGAAGAGTCCCCATGAAGGCACAGTCTCTGCAAGAGGGGCCGGAGCAGAAGGAGGTACTGGAAGGGAACCAAGGGCTCAGATGAACATTCTCCTACTATGGCCCTACTAGAATCAGAGGCAGCAGCACCCGGAGGTCAAGACAGTGAGGTTCATTCTTGGTAGCTGGTGACTCCACAGCCTCTATGGGTCCCCATCTCTTTAAAATCTGACCAAAAGTGTCCTCTCTAGCTCTGCAGTGTTGAATCTTTTTGTGTGTCTTAAGTCCTCTATGACTGACCATCAAGGAAAGACTTTAAAATGAACACAATACCATATAAAATGAATGAAAGTGTGTGTAATGCACATGTCTACATGCACAGAAGACAAAATTTGAAAGATGTTCACCAATAATTTATCAGTAATGAAGTGGAGTAAAATTATAGGAGATCGTTTTTACTTCCTTCCTTATATTCTCTGATATTATCTTGAAGTATTAAAATGAGAGGGTATCATTTTTGCATTATAAAAACAGTATCTTCATCTTGAAAATACTTAATTATTAAATTAATAGTTAAGAAAAACCGACTACATATGATTATGAAAAGTATCAAAGACAAACCAAGTCTTTAAAATTTGAAAGAACTGAATCCAAATCTAATTTGCTTTGAAACTTTCAACTGCAAAGTGCATTCCCTAAATGTCACAGATTATGAGGTCAGTGAATGCCAAAGATATAAATTAATATAGACTAGGCAACTGGTGTGTTTAACAAAAGGTACTGGCATATTAAAGTTTGCCAATGAGCTGACAAATCATGAGGCCACGTATCATTTGCCATTTAGCGGGTCTGGCTCTAGACGTTACTTTGCAAAAGATGGTTATTGAGGGAAATGCATGAAAACACGCTCTTTTGGAAACCTAGCTCATTCCTCTGAGAAACAAGACAGGAAGCACCCCCGTTTCACTTCATTCTTTTTGCAACATCTGAATACGCATGTTCGATCTCCTGGTCGGCGGGACACGTATTGGTGAACTCATCCCTAGCGTAAGCATTGTCCAAGTATCTCCAGATGCCGGTCATTTCAGAAGGAAACTCAAAATCTCTGTATTTCTTGGCCACAATCTGAAAACAAAGAAGGAAATGATCAGTAAGGGGAAATCCACTAACGTAGGCCATCAAATCAGGCCATCCATTCTCTGGACGCATGTTAACTCAATTCCTGATGTCATCCCACAGTCATTGGGGCTACCCACAGCGGCACTGTGACTTTGAATAGGGGACATCTTGAGTACAGGAAAGGCAGTGGAAGTACTGAATACCAAATGGTAGCTCCTGCAGTCCTGCCCATCAAACTGCCCTGCACTCCGTCGGCCAGTTGGTTTGTCCCTGTGTATGTGACTGTGTTCTTTTCACGCATTCTGCTACTGTGTCTTTTGGTACATAAAGATTCATGGTGAACCCTCAGTGATAGATGGCGCCAGGAGCGCTGTAAAGTGCTCTCTTTTTCCTACTTACTAAGCCTTGCTACTGCAATCCTGAATACCTGTGTGTGAATCCCACAGGTCTCCATCATTCTGCCACTGAGCAGATCATTTGTGGACCCACCAGACAGATGGGGTAGATTCATGAGCAAAACAAGACACGAATCCCTCCCGATGGAGTTAATGGGTGTAAGAAAGGGCAAATGAGTGTGACCAACAGAGGAAGGGCGTGTCACACTGAGGACCGTATCAGTTTGCTCAAGCTGCCATAACAAGTACTACAAACTCGGTAGCTAAGAACAACAGAAATGTATTCTCTCACAGCCCTGGAAATCAAAACCAAGACATCAGAGGGCCCTACTCCTCTGCAGGCTCAGGGAAGGGTCTGTGCGGTTGCTCTCTTAGCTCCTGCAGTTCCGGTGGCAGCGTGACTCGGGTCTCACACAGCGTTCTCCCTGCATGCAAGTCTGTCTCAAATCCCCCCCACCTTTTAGCAAGGACATCAGTCAGATGGGAGTAGACTCCACCCACTTCAGTACGACTTCATCTTAACTTATTTCTTCTGCAAAGACCCGACTGCCAAATGAGGTCAGATCCTGAGATACAGGGGTTTAGAACCCCAACATAGGAATTTGGGGAGGGGGTGGAAACAATTCAACTTGTGGCAGGGAACCAGACCTACAAAAGGCCAGTTCTGCTTTGTCATCTCTCATCCCTGGGATGTCTGAATGAGGCAAGCAAGGGATCAACCACCAATCAGATCTTCAGGACTTACTTCTGAGCCTCTGGAGACCAGCAGCCTTGGGTGCGGTGTAGCAGCAAATCAGGACCAGACAACGTCAGAAGGCCTGATGTTGATGGTAAGCAATCTGTTTTCCTTTGTCCACATTTGCTTGGTTTGCTTTTCTCTACCTTTTTATTTTAACATTTCTAAGTTTGCCGAGTAGTGTTCCTCTCAGTGATGGAATCTTGTTTTCTATTTTCTGAATGTGATTCTTTGTCTTCTTTCTGTTCTGTGTGATTCATGTGTGTTTCTCCCTTTCTGGTAACTCAGAAGGTCTGCAGTTCATGTTAACCCTGTCAACTTTACACGCTGTCTGTTGCCTCCTGTGAAGGACAAATGCGGGGATTCGTGTGTCTACACTTCTTTCCACTTCTACTCCCTTATCCTCCTTCCAATGACTATAACATCCAGGTTTGCTACCTTCTGACTATTCTGTTGCTATAATTGCTGTTTGGTCTTAATACAGTTTTAGAATTAAATAGGTTCTTCATCATGTGTCCTTCTATATCACACAGCTTCTCTGTTCCTAGATTCTTATTTTGATAATCATTTTATTTCACCATATAGCTATTTTATTTTATTTTTGCTTTTATTTTAGCGAGGAACTTCAGGGATCTATTCTACAATATGGAGAAAACATACCTTTGCCCACTGCCCCAGACACAACTGTAATGAGCCAGGAGCTGGCCAGCAATGCCCCTTAAGGCCCATGTGGGGTTCTAAAGACAAATCAGAGCATGAAAATGCTAAGCTTTCTTCCCCATGCCATTATTTACGGAATTCACTTTTTCACTAGTAGCAGAAATTTTACTAAATATTGGTCACTAAACTAACTTTTTTATATTTTTCCCTCTTAAATTTCTTTGCTAAATATCTTCACTGCCCAACGACTTCTGCTTCTTATTTTCTTGTGAACACTGTTAAATGGCTTAAGATTGCTTATGTTACTGAAACTAGGAGTCTAGGTAGGAATTGCAATTTGCCCAGATGTAAAATTCTTATATCATACATCCCAGTCTGACCCTTAATTCTTTACAGATGCTAACCTCTGTTTTATGATCTTTCTTATTTTTAATGTCATCAAGATATTTGAGGTCAATCTGGATTTCACCCCTCTGCAGGTCCTTGCTTTACCATTATTATGATTATGGTGATTATGACTCTGATTATCATTACTGTCTGCTACGGTTTGAATATGGTTCGGCTGTGTCATCCAAAGGTTCCTGTGTGGGAAGCGTGGGCCCCGGTGGGGAAGGATTGAGGGACCTTTAAGAGGAGGGGCCTGGTAGAAGACCATTGGGGGAACTGCCCCCAGAATAGATCAGGCAATTCTCATGTGACTCATTTGTTCTCTCAAGAAGGTTATTATAAAAGAACAAGGCTGGCCCCTTCTTGCTCTCTGGCTTCCTGTCCCACCCTGTGACCTCTTCTCCTCACACATTCTCACCAGTGCTGCCTTGGGGGCCTCACCAGAGCCAAGCCAAGGCCCACACCAGGCCCTAGAATCTCCAAAACGGGGAACTAAATAAACTTCTTTGCTTCCTTCATGGCCCAGCTTCAGGTATTTCCTTATAACAACGGAAAATGGAAAAAATTCAGTGCCCAGAAGGTTCTTTTGACTTCTCATAGCTCAATAGAGCCTCATATGTGTCTTACTGTGCTGACGTTCTGGGCTGTATTTCCCTAAACAAGGCACATAGTTTAAAGCAGAGGCGCTGGTTGTTCTTTATTAAACTAATTATCTCCTTGAAACTGCACCCCCCCCCCTTTAAATTTTTCTTTTTCCATTTTCTTTCTCTGTTCTCCTGTTTCCGCTATGTGCACCTGGGAACCCTCGAACCCCCTTGGTCCCTTTTGTTCTTCTCCACTTGGTTTTGGATGACCTTCCGGACCCAGCCTCCGAATCCCTGGCCGCCTTCTGCTGCTCCCAACACGACCTTCTTCTCTGCATTGACTCTATCTGTCTTCGCGTTTTGCCGTAAGTCCTGCCAGCCTGATTTCCACCCTGCTGTGGTATAGTCTCCAACATCTTGGGTCTTGTCTTTGAGCTTTCTCTGGAAAGGCCCCCACTCTCTTTCATGTCTTGAGCCTGTAGGAAACCTGGAATGTTCTTTCATTGACTGGAAAAGGTCTTCCTCACATGTACGCTTCTCCTCTGCCTTCTTCCTTTCCTCCATTCCTTCTCTTTGTCCTTTTTCCTCTCCCCTGTCGTCTCACAGGTGCACAGAGGTCCCACTTGGATTCTTCCTGGTTTTTAGTCACCTTTCATCAAGGAAGACTTACCATCTGACCACGGTGAGGCTCCTGGTATAGCACCTGCCTGGCATGGGGAAGGCCCTGGGTTCCATCCTCGGAACCAGGAAGAACTTTTTTTTAAGTGCAGAGGTTAAAAAGGAAGGTTGACAGGGCAAGTGGCAGATTGATTTGGGTGTGTGCCCTCAACCTCCAAACACTGTGCCCTGCCCTGTCCCCGAGGCACGCTGAGGTGAGCTGGGATCAGGTTAGGGCAGAGAAAGGGCACCCTCTCCTCGAAGATTAGGCAGGAGGTCACCATGGCTAAAAATGAAGCTTCAGCCACTTATAATCTCGACTGGTTTGGGGGCTTGTTTCTTTTCTCTGATCGGCAGAGACAAAGCAGAATACCACTTCCTTCTCTCCTCCTGCTCCATCTCCCCTCCAAGCTGTACCTGGCTGGGTCACAGGCTGGAAAGATGGCCCCTCCATCCGTCCTTCCACTCCTTCTCCCAGAGAGCACGGTTCCAAAGGCTCCAGATGCCTGTCCCCTCTTCCCTGACCCTGAGGCAGCTCACCCTGGATGAGGTTTCCTAGTCTTCAGTGGGCGATCTGTCTTCGCTGGTCCTTTTATAAAAGATGAAGCTAATATTCTATTTTTTTATATTGTTTTTTCTGGGTTTCAGGAAGGGGAATAAATTATAAATCCCTTCGCTCTCATCTTTTACCATAATTCCCCTAGATTGATTCTCATTTCCTTTCAGAAGTACTCCATCCTGGAAGATCATTAAGCCGTTTGGGATCTTGAGTGCTAAATGGCTTTAAAGATTTTGCAGCTAGGTCTTATCCTGAGCCATGGCTGCTTTCTCTCACTCCGAAGCTCACCTCTTCTACGGAAACGTAAAGCAGTGTTTTCCACAGGCGCTCGCCAAGTGGCAGCTGACGCGGGTTGGGATATTCTCCTTGCCCAGGCTCCGTGTCCCTCTGCGAGCACTCCTTACGCAGCAAACGCCAAAACGCATTCGCTGAAAGGGACTAAGTTGAAACACAGTGACATAAATAGCTGTTGGAAAGCTGTTCCCAAATTCAGCAGCTTTTAGGGGACTCAGTGGCTTCGGTTAGAGGTCAGAGACCAGGGCAGTGGCAAAGCTATTGAAAGAACCCTCCCTTGAGGGATCCGCGTCATCTCCAGACCTGCATTTGGATGGCTATCCCTCAAGCATGACGGGTGCAAGAGAAGAGGGAAGGTAAACAGGGCAAGATAAAGAGGGCAAAGAGGCGGAAAGAAGAGATGCCGTTAGAGAGAGAGTGGCAAGGCTAGGGAGTGGAGCAGCCAGAAAGGACGCTGGTGGCCCCCGGGAACAGCGCCTCAGATCAGGCGAACCTGAAGAGTCATTCCAGGCATCAATTAAACGCGCTGTTAGAACACAGTCTTGACTTGCGCTTCCTGTGTCTCGCCCATCTCCCCAAGGTGATGGGGTGATGCCAAGGACCTTGCTCTGCACCTGGTGGGACTGTAACCACCAAGATGCCCCAGAACAAAGCATCAGCTTCTCCCTGAGGTATCTGAGGCTACCAAGAACCCAGCAATAGAAACAATGACAAGATCAACCTCCCTAAGTGCTCGAGAGGCTGAGAGCACTGCTGAGAGACAGCAGCCACCCAGGAGTCCAAGCCGGGGGCTCTCTGCCCAGAAACCCCGGGGGCTGCCCCTGGAAGTTCTGGTTTAGTGGGTCAGATTGGAGGACGTAAATGTCTAAAAGGCCCCGAATTTAATTCTCATTTCTTCTAACACTGGAGAACTTAGAAGTCTTCAGATCCCAGTAACTTAGGACCCACAACCCTCCCATCGTGGGAAGGCAGCACCAACCATGGCGGGGGCCAAGTCAGGGAGCTGTCTCACATCATCCACAGTGGACTGAGGTCACAGTTAAACAGCCCCAGCTTCCAGGCATCACCTCCAGGCCGCAAGCCAAGGAGACCCCCTGTTCCTCCCCAGATTCCTTCAGTGTAACTTTTCCTCAGGCCGCAAACGTCAGACCGTCAAGAGCAGCGAGGACAGAGGGACAGGGGCCAAGTTCACAGGTACCTCCTGGGAACATTTGGGACCTCTGTTCCTGTATCTGAAACTTGTGGCGCGGCCACCTTGAAGAGAAACGAGCTCGTTTTCAATTCGAGAGTCCACATTTCAGAAGGTCGTAACTCTGGCCCAAACACAAGTCGAAACAACACACAGCAAAGCCTCCTTTCAGGCGTGGAGCACGGGTTTAGGGGGGAAAGCAGACCTTTATGATATGGAGCTTGGGTAAGAGGTTGCAGTCGGCCAGCGTGAGCTCATCCCCGTCCAGGAACTTCCTCCCAGAAACAGCCACCTCCTCCGTGCAGTAGGCATTGATTTCATCCGGCAGGGGACTAGTCAAGTAATTGTCCAGCTTCTTCAGGGCCCGCAACAGGTTCTTCTCATACACTGAAACAGAAAGGCAAGAAATCACTAAGACAGGCCGTGCCACGTGGTGCCACTTTTCACTAGCAATGAAGGAAGGTGGCCGTCGCCGCTCCTTCCTGACAGGGACAGCCAGGGATGGGCATGGGGATGGAGGGCCATAGAGGAGGAGGCAGTATCTGAATGACAACTCACTCCCCCTGAAGAATTACCCTGCTGCCTACACAACTTGCAGCTTCTGGAATGCATCCATTTATCAAAAAATAAAATAAGATACTCACGGAAACCCTATGTGGAGTAGGCCCCATTTAAAACCACTTCCGTGGTGCACCAGGAAACACCGGGAAGGTGTATTTTTTCCCCTAATGATATCATCTCCCGGTTCCCAGCCCCTAGAAGAAGCCATCAGTGTCTTGAAACCCAGGTGCGGAGCTGAGGGTGGAGTGTTGCTTCCTCATTTCCAGACTCCCATCTCTACCCTCAGTGCCCAGGTCTGACTTGGCTGCACGGGAAGCCGCGTGGAGGTCCACGCGGAAACAGGACGGGAAGATGGGAGGTACTCACTCTCGTTGGCATCCTTCTTGGTATTTTTAATAAATGCTGAGAATTTGGCAAACACGTCATTTCCTGCTGAGTTGGATTCAGGGTGTTGGGGCCCCAGCTTAGGGTACCTTGAAAAGTTCAAAATGGGAGGATCACAGGTAAGCAGTGTTTGAGTGAGGCTGACACACTAAGGGGAAATGGATATAAAAATGGAAACCCCTCCTTGGCTGTTTTCCTGATTTTTTTTTCATTTTCAAGATTGAGAAGAAACATAAGTTGGAGGAATCACATTGGACTGAGAGTTTTGGCCCTGACAATGACCAGTCCTGGGACCAAGGGCATGGGGAGGCCTTGCTGGCCTTAACTTCCCACCTAGTCCAGTGGAGGAGATAGACTAGAAGGTTCCTTCCCTGTCCACTGCTCCGTGGTGCTTCATCCTAACTCACCCCTTGCCTGCCAGCAGCGAATCTGAGGGATGGCTAACTGCTTATTTTGGATCTAAATTCCTCCAAAGGCCCATGTTAAAGACTTGGTCTGTGGCCTGTGACACTACTGGGAGGTGGTGGAACCTTTAGGACATGGGGCTTAGTGGGGGGAGCTGGGTCACTGGGGACTTGCCCTTGAAGGGGATATTGGGACCCTGGCCCCTCCTCTTCCTCGCACTTTGGCTCCTGGCCACCCTGATGCACTGTGCTGACCACAATCCAAAGCAGCAGGGCTCAGCAACCATGGCTCTGAAACCATGAGCCAAAATAAACCTTTTCCCATGTGACGTTGATCATCTCAAGCGTCTTGTCATAGTGATGGAAAGCTGACGAACTTGACACCATGGACACCTCCCCCCACCTCCTGCCATCCCACGTGAAGGGGCAAGCTGCGTGCACAGAGCAGTGACGCCCAAGCTACCTTAACTCAAGGTTCCTGATCTGGCCCTGTGCCTCCTGTGGCCCCTCATGACAAAAGAAGGAAGTGCCGGGGCCACAGAGAACCAAACCCGTCAATCGGGGTCAAGTGCCTGCAGGTTGTGAAGAGTGGTTTTGGGAGGCCTACCTCGGGGGAGCCAGCTTCTCCTCCAAGAACTCCTCGATCTTATTCACATCCGTCTTGACTTCACCATCAAAAGTCATAAAAGGTGGGTTCGTTCCGGGAGCCAGGTTCTGTAGGTCCGCGGGTTTCCTAGGGAGAGGGAGCATCAGACCGTGCGCGTAGCCTTGAGTCACTCCCTAGGCTTAGCAGTGTCCTCCCCAACTTAACAGACACATCCTTCAGAATTTTCGTAAGACTGTGGGTTTGCAAAGGGGCTTCCTGGTGACGAACGCGAAGCCACGCGTTAATAAAGGACAGGCTGGATTTGCCCCTTCGTGGCCCCTTTCTGGATACAGAGGTGGAAGGGTTAACTTCGCCAGTGCCCTTAGCTGGGAGCAGTGCTCAGCCAGGCATCTAGAGGTACACGGCCGACCCCTATGTGGGACAGCAGGTGCCTTAGGGTCACCAACTCCCACTCCTTCCTGACGACAGCCCAGCTGCTCTGAGAGAGACGCTGCTTGGCCCATATCCAGGCTCCACTTCCCGCTCCTGCCGAGGATAGACACACCTGTGATCTCGCCCCCGGGTCCTAGGGACGTGAATACCTGTGGGGTGGCCGTGGGGGGGGGGTCAGGTTCCATTATGTCAGCAACGCAGAGGCTCATCTTACCTTTTCAGGTCCACCGTCGTCACATTGAATATAACGCCCTTTAGCCAGAGAATCATAAAGAGACGCTGAGAAAATGGGCAATTTCCAATGCTCTCACCATCGTACCCGGCCTGCACATGGAAAGAGGTCTGGATCTGAGCCAGTCTCACCGTGATAAGTGTGGACACACGGTCATCGTGAATGTTGTCAATGCTCATGACACTCTAAGCAGCCTTCTGAGGCCATTTTAACTTGGGATCCAGGGCACAGTAGAGGTGGGTGCGGGGGGCGAGGGAAGGACAGACTTTCCCTCCTTCCCGCCCCCTCACCACTTCCTGCCTCCCTGGGCCTCAGAACAGCAGTTCACAGAGGGAAGAGCAGCGACAGGGGGATCTCCGTCCATTAGCAAAGGCAAAAAAGAAGGACACCCTCTTTCCCTCCGTGACGTGATCCTCTCCAAGGGAGGCACGAGCTCCTCCTTCCCGATGAGCTTGCTTTGAAGGCGAGCCTGCAGCGTGCCGCCAGCTCTGCCAGTCTCCACGGAGCTCGCCCCTGGGACCAGCTTGGGATTGTGGGAGCTGGAACATCCGGGCACACGACAAAATTGGCCTCTCCCCTCTTCTGACTCATGGGGGTGGGAGACAGAGGAGGCAGGAAGCACTTGGACCAAGGAGACAGAGCATCACCCGGTTGGTCCTGAGGCGGAGGGATGTAAAACCACCCCTTCCCAGTGACCCAGGGCAGGTGACCTCCACCCACACCCCAACACAGACTCTGAAACCCGCTGAACCCCTGGGGCTCCTGCAGAAGACAAAGGCAGGTGTTGGGGAAGATGGTTGTAGGGCTTTGCAATTCCTAGTGAAAGAAGTGAGAGAACAAAAGATAACAAGGGACGTTCTGGACTCTTCTTCCCTTTCCATCTCTTCTACCTCGCAAACTTCTGGCCTGGTCAGGGCACTAATAACACAACACGCTGCTAAAAAAGACAAGGGGCGGTGGGGGGTGGCTTGAACACACCCTTGTTTCTGCTGTGGCTTGGACATGTTTGTGCTACAGACGTTCACGTGCTGGGAGCCTGGTCCCCAGTGTGGCAGTGTTGGGAGCTGGTGTGGAACCTTTGAGAAGTGGGGCCTCGTGGAAAGTGAGGAAGTCACGGGGACACAGGCTCAGAAGGTACTAGCTATCAGAATGAGTTCTCATGACAGCAAGTCAGTATAAAGACAGCAAGACCAGGCCCTCCCTGCTTCCTGGACTCTTGTCTCACCAGGTGACCTGCATGTGATGCCATCTGTCAAAGGCCCTCATCAGAGCCAAGCAGATGCCAGTGCCATGCTCATGGGACTACAGAACTGTGAGCTAAATAAGCCTCTTTTCTTTATACAGTCCCCAGCCTCAGGCATTTTGTTATTGCAACAGAAAACAGACTAATACTTCATGCCCAAACCCAGCCAGCCTTTAATTACAAAAGCCTAGCCACATTCAATACTCGAAGCCCATTTCTGCCATATACAATCAAAAGAAAGTTAAGAACACCACACCCTTACAGGTAGACAACAACAGGAAGACAGGAGGCAGCACGTGAACTGCTTGTTTGTAAAGTGAAGGAAAGAAAAAAGATGGCTCAGGAGAATTAGACAACTTCAAGAGTACCCCGGAGCTGATTCCCTGACATTGGCGTTCCTAAGAAACCTGGAGAGGTTATTAATGACTCATCAATGGACAAAAGACCATTCATGAATGTCCCTGCAGATAAAGAGGATAAGCAGTAGACAACCCAATTTTTAAGAAACTTGATCAGCCTTCACAAGACAGGGAACCCAAGGGGCCAACGAGTACATGAAAGATTCTGAACATCATTAGGCACTGGGGCAATGCCAGCAGGAGGTGCCACCGTGCACCTGCCGGGTGGCTAGAATCTAAAGGCCTGACAACACCTACAAAAATGCAGAGTGACTGTCATTCCCATGAATGACACCACCTGGTGTCAGGTAGCACCAACTGGTGTCAGGAGTGCTACTGGGGTGAACTGTAGCTCTTACCAGAGTTAAGCACACATTAACCCTGTGACACAGTAGTTCCATTCCAGAAAGAAACGAGTGCTTATGGGCACCCAAAGACACTTACACCAATGTTCTTTGCAGCTTTAGTAGAACAGCCAAAACCTGGACACGACCCATATTCCATCACAGCAAAATGAGCAGGCCAGCTGTGGCCCAGTCAGACAAGAGGATACCACGGCACAACACAAAACAACGAGCTGTCACAGCACACAGCAGTGTGTGTGGCCACCTCGCACCAGCATAACGTGGACAGGTAGAAGCAGACGCAAGAGTCCCATGTAGCTCAGGCTTGAAGTGCAAGCTCAGGGAAAGTCTTGTGAGGATGACCTCAGAACCACAGGTGCCCTAGGAAGATGGCACCCTAGGATGGTGCCCTGGAGGGAGCCCTCAGGGTGGTGGAAACACTCTCCACCTGGTCCAGGTGATGGCTACCAGGTGTAAGGTTGGAGTCCTTACTGAATGTTAATTTTAAAAAATATATATTATTTTTAAAAAAAAACAAGGGAGTGGGATTCAGGGGGCTCTTGTACGGGGCCCAGCAATCTCAATTTTTAAGAAGCCAAGGTGATGTAATGCTGGTGGGGCCAGCATTACCAAGAGTGTGGCTGTCACCCGGGGTAATGCCAATGACGCCCAAGAGGAAGACTCCCAAAGCTTTCTCATTAGCGAAGACAGCTGCACACACACGGAGATGACAGCCAGACTTAATCCACCTGACCAGGCGCCAACAGCCCTGGACGGTGGAATCCAGAGTCCCCCAGCTCCGAGTCTGGGCTCCACACCTCTCCACCCCTCCCACTCTCACTTTCTGGAGACGGCATTTATTTGCCTGTTGGCCTGTTACAAGGGAGGGTCTGAGAACGCGCCAGTCTGTGGAGTGGTAGGAGCCTGTGTATCTATCCAAGTTCTCAAGACCACTCCCTAGAGACCTGAACCTCCGCCCTGTATTGCCCACCTGAGGCCACTCCTGCCTCAGGGCCCTGCATCCTGTGGCCCTCTTGAAAGTTTCCCCCGTGTCTCCTGCTGCAGAGCGAGCCAGGGGAAGCAGAGAAGGAGCCAGCAAAACTCCCAGGGGCTTGCTGCTTGGGGGCCCTCTCCAGCTACAGCCTCCTCTGGCTCAGCAGCCTGCTTAGCTCCCCCCGGGTGGAGGCAATCAAGCCAAGCAGAAGGGGAGGGGGGAGGAAAGCACAGGGACACAGAGCCACATAGTTTGGCCAGTCCTGACTTGCTCTGCAGCTTTGAAACCTCTTCTATCTGTAATAGTTGCACTAAGCCCAGGAAAGTCTAAAATCAGTGCTGTAGAGTGGGGCGGTTGTTTCCCTCCCAAGATAACCTGTCTCCCCAGCCTTGGGAATCCTGGTAGATCTCATCCTCAGTGCAGCGAAGTCCCTGCTGAGCTCCGTGCCATCCTGCCCCGTGGTGGAGCGTCCTCCCTAAGCTCACCTTGACAAAGAGCTCTTGTCTACAAAGGGCCTCCCCTGCCCGGCCGACAAGCAGCAGCATCTGGAGAATAAGCAGATGCACCGTTCTCTGCCTTGCTCTGTCTCAGTTCTCTCCAACTCAAGTCAGGGTTTCCTTGCAACTGTCCTCACCATTTCCTGAAGTCTGGCTGCTGCTTCTTTAGAAGGACTAGTGGGGGCTGGGAGCAATCGATTCCTTAAAAAAAAAAAAAAATGAAAGCTGCCTCTGCCATCCAACTGGAAAAACTTAGCAGGTGTTTCTGTGCTCTGTGACTGGGACAACACACCTGGTCAGAGGGCGGGACCGTGCCCTGCGGGGATGCAGACCCCCAGCTTAGAAGTGTGATGGAAGCTTCGCCTGTTCATTTTGTCCCATGTGGCCTCGGCCCTGAATTGTTCCAGCCCAGCCTGGCTAGCAAACTAAAGGCCGTCAGGCATTTTAGAAAAATTAGCTAGCTGCTGCGACTGCCAATAAAACAGGATTTACATATCCAGAGTTGCCTCATCTTAAATTGCTCTAAAAATTTTTCCCCCCCTGTCTCCGTCTGTTGTAAATGAGGGGGTTACGGGAACATGGTGGGAGTGACGAGGACGCCTTGCTGCCTAATTTTATTACTTTAATGCGCTTCAGTGCTAGGAGGTGCCAGCGGGGATAAAGGCAAAGATAGGCCATCTCCTCGGCCCATTATGGAGCAATAATGGCAGCAGAGCACCGAGGTCGCGTTCATTAACCAGAGGAGATGATGGGATAAATAGAGGCATATTAGGAGAGAGTAACTGACACTGCTGTCATCATCAGGACGCTCTATCCTGTGAAGTTTTATTTTCCAATGCTGAATCCACGCGCCCCCACCCCCACCCCCAGCTAATTGCACTCTGGACTAACATTTCTCAGCAGGGTTCTCAGCCTGCAAGGGAAGTTTCTGTATGTATACGTTTCTGATGAAATCAAATTAAGCAGTTTGAGAGATCAGAGTGTCCTCGGTTTCCAGCAAAGACCTAGGCACTTGGATAACCCGGGACTGAATGTTTGCCATTCAGTTTTGACTCTTTTGAGCATCTGCAATAGCAATTCTGCAGAGAAGAATTCTGGATGCCTCGGGCAAATTCTGAGAAACTCTGCTTGCAACCCATTGCTGCTGTGGCTTTGAGAATGTTGGGAACTCTGCCAGGTTCCAGCCTGCACCCCCCACCCCCCACAGGAGTCCCCTAAGCGTGAATGGGAAAGGTCCAAATGGCAGTGCCAAGGTCAGCAGCTGGTGCCCGTCACAGGCCCTCTCAAGATCACAGCCTCTACCACTTATCTGCCACACCGACTCCACTCCAATTTGTGGAAAAGATGCATTTTTAATTTCCTATAAGCATCTTTTGCTTCAGGCCAACGACCTCCCTGATGAGTTCTTGGTACCGGGCACCATCCACACTACCACCTTCCACCAAAATGACCTCGTGCCCACTGCTGCCTTTGAAGGACCAAACAGACCCAGACATCCAAGCACAGAGCTGACGGGGTGGTGACCCTCAAGAGAACCTCAGCCGCCCCACAGCATCCCACCCCCTCATTTCCCCTAGTGTAGGCCACACCCACCACCTTGATCCCCCAACTTCTTG